CTTGGTTTCCCTTTCAGCATTTTCTAGGTTTTTTTTAAGAAGGCATTGCTCTCTTGTTTGTACCTAGATCAATTAGGGGTAGTTTCCCCTTCTCCCCGATAGAGAGATGTTGGTTTAACTATCTTTCTATGACTAGGCAGTACTCTAGCTGGTACTTTGCAAACGGGAAACACTCAACAACCGTGTAATTGAATTAAACTTACAGGAAATCAGAGAGAAAAGTCCTCAACACCAACAATACATCTTAGTATTCTTAGAAGTTGAGACAGATCAGAATGTTAACATACACAATTTAGTTTAGAATAGGAAAAATGTTAAGGCTATGGTGAAACATTTGTCACAGGATCAAAACACATTGTTATAAAAATAAACCCACTGCCTGCCTCATCATTTCTTTAGCAGCAGGAAAGCATTTTCCTTTGGCAATTCTCTACCTCCATCAGAACTGTTCTTTAACTAAATGTGAGATTAAAAACAGACTTGTAGCCTTTTTTTTTTTGGATGGTACTCCTACTGGCAGAAGCATATTTTTACTTTGTATAACAGAGGTTTCTATTAATTTCATGCAAGATTTTAGACTTCTGAATGAATCAATATTTTGTGAAAAAAACTATGCTTGTTTTTTGCAGAAAAGGTGAGAAGAAAAATGCAATTTACTCTGCTTTATTTCAGAGTTCTATATTTGATCCTGTTTTTACATAGCTATAAAATTAGAATACACAAAATTAACCACACCAAACCAAACACTAAAGTGGTTAATAAGTATATTCTACCATCAGTGTAGCAAACCTCATTAGGCTTTTATAGGGATTACTTACCCACACTGACTCACAAATACAGCTTCCCAAACTCATACTTGACAACGCCGCCACACAAAAGTCAGTGGGAAATGTGTTCTTTTTCAACAATGGGCAATGGCAGCATTCACATTAGATTTGAAAAACTGAATGTTAAGCCCTATTGACAATTTGTTGTGTGCCTTTCATTATGAGAACTCAGCAACTAACCTCAGTGCCAACTCCTCTGAGGATTTGCATTTTCAAAAATTTTAGGTTGACTGATAGTGCAGTGATGAAAGAGGATTGTGATTCCAGAAGTGCCAAAGGTCCACATACGACACAGTTGATTTTTGTCTTACTTTGCTCTAAAGTGGTTGGAAAAAGTGAAGGAGTATCTCGGGCAGATAACAACTAATATGCTGGTGTGTCTGAGAATAAAAAAAGCTATTTATCATAATAATCTGCCATTTATTAGAACATAATGGTAAAAATAAAATATTAAGGTAGTAGAAAAGATGCCATAATACAAAATATGTGATCATAGCTAAGTATAAGATAAAGCATATATGTGAAAGCATAGAAAAAGAACCTAGACACCAAGCTGTCAAGACATGTTTCCTTTGAGCAAGGACAAAGGTATTGAGGGTGATGATGGAGACCATTTTTATACAGCACCTTTAAACACTTTTGTTAGTTTCAAGAATGTTTCAATGCACTACTTATAATCAAATGTAAAATTGTGATTGTTTGCAGTGCTGGAGATGGAGTCTGAGCCTCGAATATTGTTAGCTGATCTCTCATCACTGAACTTTTTATATCTCTGACCTCAAAGTTAGAACTATTTCAAGAAAGAAAAAAATAACATCCTATTGAAGAAAAGGCATCAGGGGTGGTGGCACATGCCCATAATCTTAGTATTCCAGAAGCCTGAAGCAGAATTGCCAAGAACTGAAGACTACCGTGGGTTACATAGAGAATTCCAGGCCAGTCTGGGCTTCAGTGTCCTCAACCAACCAACCAACCAACCAACCAACCAACCAACCAACCAACACAAGAAGAAACAAAATAATACAAACAAAAAGAAAGAAGGAATGGCATTTATTTCATAATTGAGGATTTTTCAGAAATATATACATAAAAATAATTTTTTAAAATGTGAAAGTCCTGTGGCCGGGCAGTGGTGGTGCATACCTTTAGTCCCAGCACTCGGGAGTTAGAGGCAGGCAGATCTCTGTGAGTTCGAAGCCAGCCTGGTCTATAGAGCAAGTTCCAGGACAGGCTCCAAAGCTACACAGAGAAACCCTGTTTGGAAAACAAGCAAACAAACAAACAAATATATATGCAAGACCTGAACAAGGACAACACCAATAAACATGCTAACATGGAACTGGGAAATCTCACAGAGCACACCCCTAGACAAAGAATTATAGGCAACTGAGGAAGAGAGGGAGAAATAGTTTTCCCCAGGGAAGAACACACTAATTGGTTATCTAATAACAAGTGGTCGCTTCTGATAATGTATACATATAAGTAACACTAAACAACTGAGCAAGTTGTATTTATATAGTTAGAAACACACACACACACACACACACACACACACCAACACACACATGCACACACACACACACACACACACACATACATGTATGTAACAACAGTTAAAGAAACAGCAGCCATAAATTTGAGAGAGAGCAAGAGGCTTAAATGGAAAAGGTTAGGGAGAGGAAAAGAAAGGGGGAAAGGCTGTAATTACATTTCAATTTCAAAAATAAAAACATAACAAAATATTTTAAAGAAAAACAAAATAAAAATCAAGCAGGCTTCATTCATGACATCTAATTAATACTAATAAATGATAATGAAGACTTATGCAATCATTTGTAGTTTCAAAGTTGTACTTTCACATACATTATCCCAGTTATAAATTTGATGGCGAGATGGATATCACCATTGTCATTTTACAGATGAACAAAATGAAATCCAGGCATGTTGAGCCACTTTGCTAGTATCACCCAGGCTGCTTATGGCAAAGCTAGAATTTGACTAAAATTCTCGGTTCCAAAGCTCAGGTACTAGGTACAATATTCTTTCAACTAAAGGATATCCAGACGACATAAATGAACTAGCTGAATCTGGACAGAGAATCTACATAATTAATGGCTTTGTAAAATGTAGTGCTTACACTTGAATTTTATATGTGTTTTAGTTACTTTTCTCACTACTGTTGCAGTACACATTACAAAAGCAACCTAAGGAAGAGGTGTCTATTTTGACTGACAGTTTGAGCATGTCATGACAGAATGATTATGAGATAGCCAGTCAAATTGCATCCACAGTTGAGAAGCAAAGACAGTCGAATACTGGTGTTCAGTTCACTTAATCCAGTCCAACACCACAGCCTTAGGAATAATACCACCCATATCTGGGGTGGGTCTTCCCACCTCAATTAACTAATTACAGAAAATTCCTCACAGGTGTTCCCAGAGGCTTGTTTCCTAGGTGAGTCTAGGCCTTTTCAAGTTGACAGTCAACATTAACCATAACAGTATGGATAGCAATATTTTTTGCAGTCTGAGAGGTCCCAAATAACTTCCCTGAACACTCTTTCTAGTGATTTCTTCTTTAAGTAGAGGAAACATCAGAGGGGGAAAAAAAGACTTAAATATCCTTGACTGCCAATCACATCTTTACATTCTATCGTATTTAAGGCCTGTTCATTGTTCATTCACTTGCTCCATGTATAAGTATTGATTCATTGTTATTTTATTTATTGTGTATGTAGAATATGGGGTTAAAGGGAATGACGGATCATTCCTGGATTCAGGGAACCGAGAAATCTTGGAGAAATGAGTCAAAGGTACTAGTACTATGTGCCAGAAAGCAAAGCAATGCTGTATGCACTAAGCTTCTCTGTTCTCAACTGATGTCAGCACTACTCTAGTGACCTTTCAGTGGCAATTAGTCATAGTTTCATCTCTGTTGCTGTGATAAACCCCCCTGACCAAAAGAAACACAGAGCAGGAAGGCTTTATTTCAACTTATAGTTTCAGGCTACAGCTTACCAATTCAAGAAAGTCACAAATGCCAGAGCTTGAGACAGCTGGTCCCATCACATCACAATCGAGAACAGAGAAAAAAAAAGATTATCTTTTATAGTGAAATATCTGCCCGTTATTCTGCCCCATGCTTGACTGGAACCTCATCATCTCTCCTTCCCAGCCCGCTGCAGTCCTCAGTGAGACTGCTTCATTCATTCACCAGACAGCCACAGCACTAGGACTGACATTCCAACTGGCTTTAACACACACAGGACATCCATGACCTGAACCCTGCCCCCTTCACCGCAATCTTATTCCCTCTTCTTTAGTGTCTATGTTCCCTAAGACTTTTTTCTTAGCTCAAAGACTTCACATAGTTCACTCCCTCTAACTGGAAAGCTTCTCTCTTGACCTCTGAACCTTTATGGGTCATCTCATCACTTCCACAGCACACCCAGGAAAGGCTGTCCCTGACTTCTCACTTCTTTCCACAGTCTACTCCCATTAGCCATTGTCTGGCCCTATATCTTGCTCTGTACCCCTGAATCCTATGCATCTCTCTGTGTGACTCTATCCCCCTGCTGTCTGGCTCTATGGTGGGCTCAGCCACTGGAAAGTCTAGGAAGAGCTGCAAGGGTTTCAAGTAACCACGTGTTTTCACTTCCTTTCCTACCTGAGTGCCATTCTGGGTACCACCTCTTTCCAGTAGCATCAGTTTTCACTAAGTGTCACATTCTGTCCCCCTTTCCCTCCACCATGTAAGGAAATCAGCACATTTTCCATGTTCCCTTAGTTCTGCTCCCATCTCTAGAAACAGCTCCTTCATCAACACATTTTTGTTTTTACCATGTGAAATGAATTCTGTTTCCAGTCAGCGCTCTGACATTCATACTCCCTAGTCAATATCACCTGCCCTTCATGTTATTTCCTCCACAACATCCAATCATTTTTCTTTGAATTCTTATCATGTTTAGTAAATGTATGTATGAATGTTCATATTTTGATACTTTAACACTTGTCACTCTACCTGAAAGTATTTTATATCTTCCACAGGGCCTACAGTTGATTTGCTAATGACAATTAAATTCATGGATTAAAGGGTAGAAAATAATCAACATTGCAGAAAAAACCACATCAGAGTAGTTCATGAAATAAATCATCATTTTAAAAAACCAATGTTAAGACTCTACTTTCAGGGATCATTTCTATAGTTCCATACTAGAGAAGTTTCTCTGACTGAGTAGAGCCCCAAGACCATGAGGAGGAAACCTATGTTCCCTCCTGAGCATGAAGCCGGATCTAGGGGCTGCTTTCCTGCAGCTGCCTCTTGACATTGAGGATCATTCTTCTCTCCCTTTGGGAGAGTGAGAGGGAAGGGAAAAAGAAAAGCCAAAAACAAAGCCAGAAAAAAAAAACCCGAACAACAGTAACAACAACAAACCAGTGTTAACCAGGCACAGTGGTGCATACCCGGAGTCCCAGCACTCTGGGGGCTGAGGCAGGAATACAAAAAGTCTGAGGTCAGACTGGGCTACATAGTGAGTTCCACACCAGCCTGGATAACTTAGAAAGACTCAGTATTAAAAACAAGCAAACAATGCTAATGTGAAGAATTTATAGATGAAACATACAGCACACATGAAGGAGAATGCTTGAAGGTTTAAAAGATGTGTGTATGATTCAACTGACCTTTGTTCAGTACCTCATTCGTACTGTACTCTACTGAGCACTGAAAAGAGCTGTTTTCATTTGAAGGCTCATAGACTAGTGGATAAGATAGAAGCATAAAGAGAACGAGGCACATGAGAAACATGAGCCATGGGTACAACTGGGTCAAGAAGACACGTGCTATTAAGGGGTGAGCTTTATAAAGAACACATTTGGAAGTAAGATTATATTTCAGTTTTGTTCAGAAAACAAGATGGTATAACCTTAATCTTTTTGTTTCCCGCCATTAACTCTTCAGGTCTGAAAGGAAGGAAGAAACATGTAAGGCAAATAGGTTGCTTTGAGGTAATGCCTCAGCCCAGATAAAATGGTACAGTTGGCCTTGGCAGGTAAAGGGCCAAGGACATGAAAATCGCCTGGCTTTTATTACAAGACTCTAAATGTGTGAGCCCAGATCATAACAGTAGATCAAGTGGACAGTTTCTCAAGCTTTTAGCTGGAGATTCTGGAACCCTAAAAATCCCCAAGTTCAAGAAGGCATAAATAACCTACCCACTGTCAAGTCTGATGTGTTTGTGTGCAGCCCTGGGTGGCGTGTATGAATGTATGTAGTTGTAACTTGACATTTATAATCCACAAGGTAGCAGTTACACTCACCAACAGTCCTGGAATATTAAGAAATAATCTAGCATCACTCTTCATTAAAATAATATTTTTTACCCTCATATAAAGGGAAAATTATTTCTACAAATAATTTTATTATTTTCATGGATTGGTGAATGAGTTGCTCCAACTCAGAGAAGTCACAATAAGCTACAAATCATTCTGATTAGAACCAAATAAACTCTGGGATCTTGTCCTCGCTCACTCATTAGACCAGGGGTCAGTAATCTCTTGGGACATACCCAGCAAGATAATTAATAACTTAGGTTTTGTGAACCATATGATTTCCCTTGCCACAACTCAACATTATTATGGTAAGTGAAAACAGCCGCAGATAATATGTAAATGAATGGGTGTGGCCATGGCCCAATAAAACTTTGATTACAAAAGTATGCTTCAAGCCAGATTTAACCTATGGGCTGTAGTTTGCCAGGTTTGTTGCAGACTACAGAAAAGGAACGTGTGCAGAGTGGGGTGGAGGGTGGACTAAAACCAGAAAGACAGTTTTATAAGAGGGACTGAAAAGAGAACAATTGTGGTAGCACCAAAATAGTAGAAGAAAGAGAATACTATATTTATGATACATTCTAAGGTAAGAGCAATCATCAACAGACTCCAGCCAGAACTCATATTATCTACTTTTCTTCAGGTTATGCCAGGTTTTTCTTACCCTTTATCATATTCTTCATTTTGATTAAGAAAATTTGCTTGTATAGTTTCCTATCTGCTATAACCATGGTGCAAAAAAAATTTCCATTTTGCACAATATATATATCAGCAATAGGAGACTAATTGTAGTAGGGATGAGCCTTGAAAACATAAGGCCTACTAAAGGAAGCAGGGCAGGAAATGACAAATAGTTTATAATTCCACTGATAGGAAAAGTCCAGAAGAGGCCAATACAGAGAAACAGGAAGCAGATTAGTGGTTGCCACAGGCTGCGGAGAAGGGGAAGTGGGGAGGAACTACTAATGGGTACAGGATTTCACTTTAGAGTGATGAGAATGTTTTAATTAGGCATTAGCGATGGCTGCAGGACTCTCTCTCCTCCCTCCATATCTCTCTCTCTCTCTCTCTCTCTCTCTCTCTCTCTCTCTCTCTCTCTCTCTCTCTCTCTCATTGTTTTTATTAGCTTGTAAAGAGTGCAGACCTCTTTCATGATTCTAAAAATCACTGCAACGCACATGTTCAGATGGGTGCCATCTTTCTGGACGGCAATCGGAGGCAAAAGAAAACAGTACAGCAGATTTGAGAAGGAAAAGAAGACATCAAAACCGAAGAACAGAGAACAAACTATTTCAGCCCCTGGGGTGGTCCCCTGTTACTCAACTCAAGCACAGAAAGTTCTCAATTGTGTCTTGAAAGCAATTGGATATGATTAACACACATTGAATACATGTATGAATGTCTCAGAGAATAACTAAGTAAAATAAAAAAAAAAATTAAAAAGAAAATTCCTTGCCTTCGCATGTCTGTGCAGTAGTTGAAGTGTCTGTAGGAGTTAACAGCTGATACACCTAGGGCTAAGAGCTTTTCATATATTGTCAATTGAGGACAATTCTGCAAAATCATGTATTATAAAGCCCATTTTACAGGTGAACAAGCTGACTAACAAAGGCTTTATTTTTTCCTCTATTCTTCCTAATTTAATAGATCTCCTGCAGGAGTTTACTCCAGCAAGAGAACAGTGGCAGTCTGGCTCTCACTCTCTGGACATTGCTCAGCCATTTGTATAGGCAGCCTTGCAAACAAGTTCACAATGTCACCATCTGGATTTCCCAACTAGGCTCCCTGCTCCCTCTACAAACCCAAACTGTCAAAAGGATCTATTTCAAACTCCAATCATCCCACGTTGCTCCCCTGTTTTAAAGGCCAAGCCTCAAATCCTAGTTTAGAAGGGCTTGGTTGCCCTGGTTCCACTCCCTATCACATCTGCCACATCCTGCCCTTGCCCTTCCTGCCCCAGTCCATGGGCCGGCCTACCCACCCAGCCTAGGAGGCTTATGCCAGTTGATGTCTCTGCCAGGAATGCCTTGGGCAGAAAAGACTGTCTTCCCATAAGCTCTTAAAGACACTGTCTTTGTCTACTGTTCTAAACTAGCCACAAACAACTCTATTTCAATACTTGGTAAAGCTCTTAGCATGTGACATTTCTGTCTTCACCCTCTTCCCTTCATCCCTTCTTTCTTTCTCTCTCTCTCCTCCTTCTTCTTCATCCTCTCCCCTTTACTTCTCCTCCAGATCCTCCCTCCTTGTCCCCGTCTTTCCTTTCTTTGCTTTCTCTTCCCCTTGCTCCTTGGCCTCTCTCTCCCTCCCCACTTCTTGCTTCCTTTCCCTGTGTAGAATCCAAGCTCTATGAGAACATGAACTCAGGGTTGTTTACCTGCCCCTGGCCCATTTTAGGCACTCAAATACTTGGTGAAAGAATTAATGAATGCCAATGAAACTTGGCAAGGGTTCTGTGTTTTGCTAAATGATTAAAGCTCTAAATCCCACAGCACATAGTTTTGGCTCTGCAGAGAAATAACCCATAAATAGGACTAATGACCACAAACTTCAGAAGGCCCTAACCAACAATGACCATTTACAACTGCCCCCACCCAGAGACAAGTTTAAGCCTGAAGTGAGTTTTTATTACCTCCTCATAAACCCCTGAATCATGTGCTTTACAGGGCAAGTGCTAATGCAGTCATAATTATATTGGTGTGAACACATTGTCATAGAAATGTAGCAAACATAGGCGCAGGCATTTAAGAGAAAGCAGCTGCTCCCAACCCAAGAGCAACTGTCGCATAGAAACGGGCCAGCAAGCACAGAGCTAAGGAACTTAAACTGAGTGACTGAAGTGACACACCCTATAAATCACAGATTAAGATGTCAGTTTGTCCCAACACCTCAGAGCAACCAACTTGCTGTCCAGAGAGCACTGTGCATTTGGCTAAATCTATAATTAAGACATAGATATCACCATCTCCCCGTAGTAATGCCCATTCTTGTTTAATTTACTCAGGCACTAAAAAGTGGTAACTTCAGTCTGTGGGTGATTTCCTTTCTTTTTTTTCTTTGGAAGTAAATCAAGAAGCAAGAAAAGACATGACTTCATTATAAATTCAGCATTTACCTAGTTTCCCCCTTTTGATCTTTGAAATAATAATAGCTCCATTAAGACACTCAAATGTGAAAAATGTCAAGCCCTTGACCTTTTCTCAATTCATACTCAAGCTGAGCCAATGAACACACACCCCTCTCTCTCCTCCTCACCCCAGTATGAGTACTTTCTCCAGGCTCAGCCATGATTCTAGGTCAGGATTTCTAAGCCTTAGAACTATTGACATTTTGTACCAGATAAATCTTTATTATGAAAGCTAACCTGTGCATGGTAGGATGTTTAGCATCTTCTCTGGCCTCTGCTTATGAGATTCCAACAGTACTCAAGGCTTGAACAACCAAAACTGTTTCCAGATATTGCTAAATGACCACCATAAGGCAAAACTACTGTAGGTTGAAACCACTGTTCAGGACACTGTAGTATCAAACCTAATATGTTGTGTGTGAGTTGTGGTTATTGCTTATTATTGTATTGAAATCTCATGAGGATAGAATTGCTCTTACAGGAAGAGTCCTTGAAATTCATTGCACAATTTGATTCACTCATTAAGTACTGTACGCCAAGATTATACCCTTTAAAAAAAAAAAAACAGTGTTCATAAGTAACCTCTTCTGACCTGAGCATTTTTTACTGAATGGGTAGAACAACTTTAAAACTAGTTTCAAATCAGACATTTGAAGATCATAATATTTGTATGAAGAATTCTTTTCAAGAAAGAAAGTGGAGAGCTGGTTTTAGTTTGAAACCAATGAAAAAAACAGGTCATTTGTCTCTGTCTTTTGCGAAAACAACTGACCTTAATGACAACGTACTTAGAACCACACTAGAAAGAGCAGAACTAGCCTTGGAATCAGCCTTACGAGAGTTTACAACTCCACAAAGTCCATTAATCAGCAAGCAATCTATAAAGCCAACCTAAAGAACACATGTTGGAGAACTGCCTCATTCTC